TAGGGAGTACTAGTCCTACGGATTATTACCCCTAGGGAGTACTAGTCCTAGGGATTCTAGTCCAAGGGGCAAGGGGGCACTAGTCCTTGGGCGTATTAGTCCTAAGGAGTACTTGTCCTATGGAGTACATGCCCTAGGGAATACTAGCCATAGGAATTACCGATGCTAGGGATTACTCGACCTGGGGAGTATTCGTCTTAAGGACTTCTAATCATAGGGATTACTAGTCCTAGGGATTACTAGGTCCAGGGGTTACTACGGGCTCTCAGGGTGTTTACACAACACCGCAGCACACAACCAATAACAACAAGCAGCACCAACAAACAGACGAACCAACAACAAAACAACAACATCACCAACAACAACATCAACAACAATAGCAATAACAACACCAACAGCAACAGCAACCACAGCAACCACAACAGTAATTTTAATACTGTTCGCCCTTATATGCTCGAGTGTCCAATAACGCGTATTTCCCAAACCCTCGATACCCTCCCTCTTCGTCTTCGATCGAACCCCTTTTTGGGGGTATACCTTTCTTCCCTGCAGGCCGGACCCCGGCAAGCGGCGGGGCGGCCGCGGACCGTCGGCCTGGCCAGCGGCAGCGCTGATCGGCGGGGCGGCCGCGGATCGTCGACCCGACCCGAAGAGGGACGGACAGGGGACCGACCACGACGACGACGACGACGACGACGACGACGACGACGACGACGACGACGACGTCGAAGACGACGGCGACGACGACGACGACGGCGACGACGAGCGAAAGTGAGAGCGAGAGAGAACGACAGCAGGGCCACGAAGGGCACGAAGTAGGCCACGAAGGGCGACAGCGGGGACATGAAGGGAACGCGCGAACGCGAACGAACGGGGGCCACGAAGTGCAGATAATGCGGGGCCACACAAGGCAACTATGGGGCCACTGAGGGTAGCAACTGGGCCACGTAGGACAGTGAGGGGGACACAAATGGCGACAGCGGGGCCACGAAGGGCATGCACATGGGGCCACAACGGGGGCGACTCCTGGGTGCCTGGGTGTCGGGAGCGCGGCGCTTGGGCAAATTGCAAGAAATTCCAACGCAAGGCCATTCTTCAGTAAGTTGCAAGCAAGTCTCCAGCGAGAGCGCGACTCCAGAGCGCCGGGAGAGCGATTCCTGAATAAATTGTAAGGAAGTCCCAAGCGAGAGCGCGATTCCTGAATAAAGTGCAAGGAAGTCTCGGGCGGGAGCGGGGGTCCTGGCTAAATTGTAAGGAAGTCTCAGGCGGGAGCAGTTGTTGTTATAACCCGGGGCCCAGGGGCCCAGTTTGACCAGGAAGATTTTCCATGCCAAAAAACAGGGTGCGAGCGTCGAGGGGCGCACTTTGATGGAGAAAAGACAATATGCACCGGTGGGGGGGATCAACAATAGTTATTCTTCAGAAGTGAGAATTCAACACAGCAGGCTCTTCGGCCGCTCGAAGAGGCTCTTCGGCGGCTGAGGCTCTTCGGCGGCCCCAAAGCCCAAGAAGCTCTTCGGCGGCTGAGGCTCTTCCGAGACCCTGAGAGGCTCTTCGGAAAGCCCAGTAGGCTCTTCGGAGAGCCCAAGCAGCTCTTCGGAGGCCTTGAGAGGCTCTTCGGAGAGCCCAAGAGGTTCTTCGGAGAGCCCAAGAGGCTCTTCAGCGAGCCCAAGAGGCTCTTCGGCGGCTGCAAGAAGGTGTTCGGCGGCTCCAAGAGGCTCTTCGGAGAGCGCAGAGGCTTTTCCGAGAGGCTCTTCGCTAAAGGGGGGGGAGCCCCCCCTCGTCACCATACTCGTTGATTAATACACTCCGGAGGAACCCTGGCCATACTAACACCCACCGGGCCGCAGTAACAACCAACGGGCCGCAGTAACACCTTATCTCTGGGATGGGCGCGGGGGGTGCCAAGGGGCTGGGGGGGGTTCGGTGCACGCCAAAAGGGGTTACACCTGGCCTAACCTAGCTTACAAGTGGATTACACGTGCCCCAAGTAGGTTAGGGCGATCAGGCAATTCCGCTAAATTGGCGGAGCCGGCTTGGCCTGGATCGCTATCCCCCCCCCAGGCCACCTTGGGCAGTAGCAATCCACTAATGAGCTAAGTTAGACCAGATCTAACCCACCTTGGCGTCCACTGATAACCCACATATCCCCTGAGCACCCCCCGCGCCCATCCCAGCTCCCCCACTCTCCTCTCTCCCCAGACTCTGTCTGGAAGGTATCTGGCCCTCTCGGCGCGTTGTTTCCACACCATATTTCAAGCTTTGGTGTCGCTTGTGAATGTTTACGCTCCGACTGTCTTCGGTGTGTCAAACTGGTGCTCCCGCTGCAGCGTGGGCCGAATTTTTTTGGATCGGCGCTCTGCTCGCGTCGTTCAGGAAGGTGCTCTCATCCCAGCGGGGGCCAGTTTTCTGGATGCGAGTCCTCTTTCATCGTTGTCGCGTCCCTCATTCCCCCTCCTCCCCCTTCCACTGGTCCTTTTACTCCTCCCGCTCATTCCCCTCTAGCTTTTGCTGCTGCTCTTCGTCCTCGTGCTCCTCCTCCTCCTCCTCCTCCTCCTCCTCCTCCTCCTCCTCCTCCTCCTCCTCCTCCTCCTCCTCCTCCTCCTCCTCCTCCTCCTCCCCCCCTTTTTTCTCCTGCTCATCCTGCTGCTCATCAGCCACCTCTTCCTCCCAAGTGCGCAGCTTCCTCTTTTTCCGATTGCGCATAGCACGATCGGAGGTCCTCTTGGGAGTTTCAGGCCCGCTGCGACATGCTTCGGCAGATAGAGAAAAAGCATCGCAATGGGCAGGGATTGGCGGGAGAGGTAGGATGTCAGAAACGGCGCGAGCGCACCTACGGTGGGTTCATGCGGCGATGGCGCGCTGGCGACGCCGGCGAAGGCGTTCAAGGTTGAATTCTGCAACGCGGAAGCACCGAGGGACACGGTGACGCCATTGGATCCGACGGAATTCAACCTTGAACGATCGGGGCCGCGATCGATTCAAGGTTGAACGATCGACGCGGTATCAAAACCTTTGCGCGTGCCGACGCCGCACGAACCTGCCGTAGCTTGCCCCCCTTCCCTCCAGAGCGCAGTTCTCGGGTCCTGCCCCTAGCGGGCCACTTTGCTGACAGGACTTGCTCCTTGCTCCTTGCTCCCCTTCCCTCCCTCCCCTTCCTTGCGCCACCCCCCCCTGCCCGCGTGCTCTCCCCCTCCCCTCTCCTCCAGCCCCCCTGCCTCTCCTCATCGCAAAAAAAGAGAAACAGTCATGACGCCGTGAAAGCTTCACTACGTGGGAGTTCTGTGGAGTGGGGGAGGATCCGACGGCACGTTTTTTCACAACGTGGGCCCCCAGAGGTCTGGGTCACTTCACTGGGACCGGCTTTTCAACCTGGATGGCTTTTTGACGGCCCCGCGGCCGGCGAGGGCCCCCAGAGGCCGAAGCTTGCCAAATGCCTGCCGTCGTGGTTTTTTTTCCGCGACGAGATGAGGCGGGGGTCCTCTCCTCCCCTCCTCTCCCTGTCCTCTCCACTTCCCAGACATCCGACGTTTCGATATTTTCGAGACGCGGAGCCCCGACCTCTCGACCACATCCCCGGGACCGGTTCTTCATCCCGAGTTGTTTTTTGACGGCCCCGAAGCCCGGTAAGAGCTCAAAGAGGTCGAAAACGATAAACCGCTGTCTCGATTTTCTCGAGATGCTGGGTGTTTTCGGGGGCCATAGCTCGGCTCTCCGGCGGCCGTTCGGGACGATCCCGGCACCCCCAGAACGCCCGCGGCGAGGCGCAGCTGGAGCGCACCCCGAGGCTGGAAAGCCGCTGGGGACCGACGAGCACCCTTTCGAAATCCTCGACCAGACCCCTCGAAATCCTCGACCCGACCCCGAGGAACACCCGCGAAACGCCCTGGAGACCGACAACGCCTCGAGCTTCCTCCTTCCCCTTCCCCTCCCCCTCCTCCTCCTCCTCCTCCTCCTCCTCCTCCTCCACCTCCTCCTCCACCTCCTCCTCCTCCCCCTCCTCGAAGGCCCGAGCATTTGAAAACATTGACACCAATCTTACGCAGTTACGGACGGTCGATCTTTCAGAGGAGGTTCCCAGTTTATCTTCGATCACTTGTGCCATCGCCTCTGAGGCTGCCAATTGCGGCCGGGGTCAACGCGTGGCCCGGCGCGACAACGCAGACATTCTACTAGCAAAACAACATCTCGACGGCATCCAGCGAGCTCTACGTGTCGAGCGAGACCCCCTGGCCCGGGCTTTGCTTGCGAACCAAACCACCAAACAGCGGCGTCGACTCGCAAGGCTGAGGATCGATGCACAAATGGACGATGCCGTATTGAAAGTACGGCCAGTGCGACCCTTCAAGCGGACTGTGGTGCTCTTCTTCGAAGATGCGAGCACCGGCGAGCTAGCATTGAGCGCAGAGGAGAAGAGCCGCATGCTCACGACATATTTTCAGGAGCTGTACAATGACGAAAGATCTCTTCGTGAAGAAATGCCGGGTTGGATTTACAAGTCATGGCACACTGACGTTTTGGACATGTTTCAGAAGTTTGACGGACATCTGGTTAAAAGGGTTGTTTACAAGTTTGCTCATAACAAGACATGCGCTGACGACAATATTGTCGCAGAGATGTTGGCCAGCTTGGACGAAGACATGTTCGACGTCTTGGCAGAAGCGTTCAAACTACGACTCCTCAACCACAAGTCCGAAGACGAAGAGACTGCGTGGGATGACGTCTTCGTGCAGTGCATCCTGAAAAAAGTTGACCCCACACATCCTTCGAAGTTGCGGCCGATCACCGTCATCCCTGTGTTGATGAAGGTGTACCTGGCTTCTCTGATGGAGCTTGAAGGTGGTCTTCTTGACAATCTCACCCAATTTCAATTCGCTTTCCGCCCTGGGCGCCAAGCACTGGACGTCATACTTATGCTTCGCAACCTCGTCGAGAAGCACGTGGAATGGACCGACGTGCTGCCGGCCCTCTACATGTTCGACGGTGACTTGTTCAAGGCATACGACACCGTCAACCATTGCGTTGGCGCGAAGAGACTTGTTAAGAAGGGGCTGAAAAAGGTCACGGTGGCAGCGATCTTCCGGGATATTCGCAGGCTGAAGTCGACGGCGGTGGCCGGGGACGTTCGCAGCGATATGGTTTCACGCACTCGGTCTCTCTGTCAAGGCGGACCCGACGCTCCTAATACTTTTAATTTAGTTCTTGATACAGACATCGAGGCTTTCAACAAGCAGTGCGCGACAAACAGGGGGGGTGTATGCATCGATGGTGAGTATTACGGCGTGCTGTGCTTTGCTGATAACTTCTGACACCTAGGCACATCCTGCGACATGTTGCAAAAGATGGCGCGGGCCTTTCTGGCAAGACTGCGGAGAGCTGGGTGGACTGTGCCAGTGGCAGATTGTACGTGGTGCACGACGGCTTCAGACGATATCCCTATGCAGATCACCATAGACGGCAAGGTCGTGACCCGCGCCGGGAGGAGCGAGGGTTTTCAGATGCTGGGCACAAGCTTCACCATGGACAAATCGTTCGGGAAGGAGCTTGGCCACCGCGTGACCAAGGCGTGGGCGTGTTTCAAGAAGTACCGTGGCCTTTTCACGCACAAGCGGGGCTCTTTGAGGCGAAAGTTGCAGTTCCTCGACATGACCGCCAAGGCGACTTTACTATGGGGGTTTGGGGCTTGGAATCTAACTGCCCACCAGGAGCGGCATATATCTGGAGTGCAGCGGCGCGTGATCAGAACAATTTTGCGCATTAAGAAGGTCCCTGACGAAGAAGTTGGCGAATACTGCGAACGCTGTGAGAAGTTGGTCTCTAGAACAATGGGGCAATATGAGGTTGAACCGTGGGTGGCGTCTTGGCGCAGGACACAATGTGAGTGGGCGGGCAAGCTGGCCAGACAGGGCGCTTCGGACATCCAGCGAATCACCTACAACGTCTTACACTGGAGGTCGATTTTATCACTTGCGCGACTTTGCGGCGAAGCACTTCGGCTGGCAAGGGCATCCACGACGTTTCCGGGTATGGAGGTGGGAGAGAGAAATCTTTAATTATTTCAACCAACGGGGATTATCATGGACAGACGTGGCGCTCACCAGTGAGCCCTACCAGGCGCATCTTGAAACGTATCTCACCTGGCGCAACCTACCGTTGTCTGAGCGAGGAGTAGACGCGCGGCGTGTCCCACGCGGACCTGCGAACGCCGTCCCATCCCATACCCCTCCTCCTCCTCCCTTTCCTCCTTCTCCTCCTCCTCCTTCTCCTCCTACGCTACGCTAGTGGCACGAGGTTCTGTTGTTGAGGTGCTGCCAGTGGCTCCCTCCTGTGGGTACCGTATGGTGCCGCAGGAGGGGGCCATTCCGAAAATGGGCCGCTCCGCCCGTCGAGATGGGCCGACGAAGGACGAGGGGGGGGGGGGGGGCGGACGGGGGACCGAAAGGAGGTCGAAAGGGGGGGGGGCACGCACGGCGGTCCGAACGAGGAGGGGAGGACGAGAGAGGGGAATGCGGGAAGCTGCAGGCCGCGACCGCCCCGCCCTGCCCCAACACCCCATCCACTACATCTAACCTCATTTCCGACCGCTCCCATCCTTCCCTTCCCCTCAGAGGTGGAAGCGTTTCAGTACAAGGATGTAGTTGGTGACGATGGGGAGGATATGGTTCAGGGACAGGTGGTAGTTCTTTAGGGCAAGGGTGTTGCTGACCATGGAGAGGATTCGGTTCAGGCGGTACATGAAGAACCCATCAGAGGTGGATTCATTTGAGGACGACAATGTAGCTGCTGACGATGGGGAGGATGCGGCTCAGGGAGTGGAGGTAGTAATTCATGACAAGGGTGCTGCTGTTGACGATGGAGAGGATGCAGTTCAGGAGGTGGCAGTTCATGGAGAGTGGTTGGAGCGTGGGTCGGAGGTCGGGAGGACGTATTCGTTGGCTGTGACGACGTCGGGGGCGTGGGCACCTCGTGCGGTCGTCCAGTGTTTGGTGGTTATGGCGAGGATGGCCATCGCCAAGGTTCACGTGCGTAGGTTGTCGATCGACTCGTTGAGGCTGTCGATGAGCTTGGATATGGGTTCCTTGGCCAGGGTGATCTCCTTCTGGACGTTGAGGGCCTGGTTGTAGCTGGTGTGTTGTTTGCCAACCGTTGTCGTCAGGGTGTCGAGCTTCTCCTGGATGTACTCGGTGATGATGTCTGATATCAGAGACTGTTTGGTGTTCCGCATGGCATTGGTTTGGGCGATGGTGCCACGCGCCCATTGCTGCTGTTGTAGGACATGCTGATGATTGTGACCTCGTCCCTCCTCCTCCTCCTCCTCCTCCTCCCCGCGGCCAGGCCCAGGGCGGCCGCCGAAACGCCTCTCCCCGCAGGGTGTTGTGGCCGGCTCCCGTGCCGATCGCTCGGCCGTGCGGCGCCCGAGCATATATCCCGCCATCTGCGGAGGCCGCCGGCGGCGACCACGCGCGAGACAGAGGCCCCCCCCCTCCTCCCCAGACCTCCTCGGGTAATGAACCCAGACATGATCGCGTCGTAACAAGAATCAGGATGGCAAGTTTTTAGATATTGTCAGCCCCTGGGGGCCCTCGCCGGGCCCCGGGAGCTTTTGAGAATGACTCAGGATGAAAAGCCGGCCCCAGAGAAGTGCGGATTTCCGGGGACGCCGTCTTGAACAGATCAGAACATCACATGTCTGGGCTCGGACCCTGAAACAAACATGTCAGGATTTTTGTTCCTCATTTTCAGCCTCTGGAGGCCCTTGCCGGCCCTCGGGGCCGTCAAGAAACGACTCAGGATGGAAAACGGGTCTAAGGGGAATGGGTCGAGACCTCTGAGGGTCGATGTTATGAACAAATCATGACGTCGGGGGTCTGGGTCAAAAGTGAGGGGAATGGACAATGACATTAACATAATCAAGGGCAGCAGCGTGGAATAGGGATTCCCCGCTGCAATGTCCCGGCGGAGAACCGCGGGCCACGCGGGGGCTCGTCGTCGGGCCCTCCGCCAGTGGCTCCTCCTTCTTCTCCTTGTCGTCCCCCGCCCCCAATCGACCCCCTTGAAACCCTGCGGGGGGCAGTCCCACGAGCGTGGCCGAAAGGCAACTCCACTCGCCTGAACCCCCCCGGGAGAAACGATCAGAAGGGGGGTTGCACTCGAATGCGCGACGACCTTGCGCGGTGGCTCACGCAGGCCGCTCGCGCGGCAGACGCGCGAACTTACGAGGGCGGCATGCGCGCGAGTGCCCGCGCAATCGACCCCCTTGAAACCCTGCGGGGGCAGTCCCACGAGCGTGGACGAGACGTGGCTGAGGCAATTCCACTCGCCTGACCCCCCAGGGAGAAACGATCAGAAGGGGGGTTGCACTCGATTGCGCGACGACCTTGCGCGGTGGATCACGCAAGCCGCTCGCGCGGCAGACCGCATTAAGGCGCCTACGCGCCACCTTCCGCGGGCAGCTTACGCACAAGTGCACGCGCAATCGACCCCCTTGAAACCCTGCGGGTGCGCCCTCCCGCGGGCGCTTTGAAATGTGTCGCCCGGTTGCGGTTGCGGTTGCTGTTGCGCGCTCCCGCGGGCGCTTTGAAATGTTTCGCCCAGTTGCCGTTGCGGTTGCGGTTGCGCGCTCCCGCGGGCGCTTTGAAATGTGTCGCCCGGTTGCGGTTGCGGTTGCGCGCTCCCGCGGGCGCTTTGAAATGTGTCGCCCGGTTGCGGTTGCGGTTGCGAGCCCGCGGGCGCTTTGAAATGTGTCGCCCGGTTGCGGTTGCGGTTGCGGTTGCGCCCGCGGGCGCTTTGAAATGTGTCGCCCGGTTGCGGTTGCGGTTGCGGTTGCGCGCTCCCGCGGGCGCTTTGAAATGTGTCGCCCGGTTGGTTGCGGTTGCGGTTGCGCGCTCCCGCGGGCGCTTTGAAATGTGTCGCCCGGTTGCGGTTGCGGTTGCGCGCTGCGCGGCGCGTTTTGAAATGTGTCGCCCGGTTGCGGTTGCGGTTGCGCGCCCGCGGGCGCTTTGAAATGTGTCGCCCGGTTGCGGTTGCGGTTGCGGTTGCGCGCTCCCGCGGGCGCTTTGAAATGTGTCGCCCGGTTGCGGTTGCGGTTGCGCGCTCCCGCGGGCGCTTTGAAATGTGTCGCCCGGTTGCGGTTGCGGTTGCGGTTGCGCGCTCCCGCGGGCGCTTTGAAATGTGTCGCCCGGTTGGGTTGCGGTTGCCGCCGCCGGGTTGCGCTCCCGCGGGCGGTTTGAAATGTGTCTCCCGAGCTGTCCCCTGACGTTCAGTCAGTCATCAGTCAGCCGGCGGGCACGGAATTTCACCCGGCTCCGCCGGGAAAAACTTGGAGGTTCGCGCGGATTTCTCGGATCGGCGCTGGACGCCCCTCCCTAGCGCGTGGGGCGCGCCAGAGGGGCGGCGCCGGAGGCACCGCCACGGGGGGGTCCAGCGTCGATCCGAGAACTCCGTGCGGATCTCAGAGTTTTTATGCTATGTCATTGTTCGTTTCCATATGGGGCCTGGGCGATCCCTGCTCCCCAAATCTCACCAATAAGAAGCGCAGAGCGTTGCTAGTGACAGCCTCAATATAGGGGCTAGAGGCTCAAACCTCTGTCGAGCTGAGGTGTTGTCCTGATTCCGTCAGTGATCCCATTCATTCCCATTCCCATTCTCCCATACTCCCATTCTCCCTTTCTCCCATTTTCCCAGTCTTCCATTCTCCCATTCTCCCATTCCCTTTCCCTTTCCTTTTCCCATTCCCATTCCCTTTCGCTTTCCTTTTCCCTATCCCATTCCTTTTCCCGTTCCCATTCCCAATCCCATTCCCGTTCCCATTCTCATTCCCATTCCCATTCCCATTCCCAATCCAATTCCCATTCCCATTCCCATTCCCATTCCCATTCCCATTCCCATTCCCATTCCATGGGCTGCTCACATGTAATCATCGTCGAGATTCGAGGGTTGAGGTTTTCGGGCGTTTTCCTCGGTTCCCAGGTGGTTTTCCAGCCTCGAGGTGCGTTCCATCAGCTAGGCCTCGCCGCGGGCGTTCTGGAGACCCCTCCCAGGCTCGCACCCTATTCTTTTCAAGGGAACGTGTTGCGCCTCAGACTGTGTTTTTGGCCCCTGGTTTACCACAACAGCTGCTCCCGCCTGATACTTCCTCACACTTGTTGACTCCCCACATCCTAGGATGGGGTTCTTGTTATTACTTAGACGTCTCCGGACCTCCTGCCTCTTTCCTCCTCCTCCCTTTCTTTCACTTTCATACATCTAGGTACTCATGCTCAGATCGCTCACTCCCGTCAAGGGGTCCATGACAGGCCCACTCTCCTTCACGGGACTATCGCAGATTCGCTTTTCTTCACGAAGGCTTGGCCACATCATTTCCTCACTCAGGTTCAGTTTCATTCAGACTCACTGAGGCCCACTCAGAGCATTAGCCTCAGACGCATTCTCACTCATACACATCCGAAGTCTCTCACTCCGACGCGCTGTTCCTCACTCAGACTCACTCAGATTTTTCAGAAGGCCCACTGTTCACCGCGATACATTATAGTCGGCGTGGCATTTGGGAGCTCCAAGGGAAAGCCGCCAGGGGTGAGGACACTCCAGAACTCGCGCCCAGATTCAAGGGATGCCTCGAGTGCATCTGCCCCCACGACTACTTTGCTCTCGGAGCAGATTGTGAGGATGTTTCCGGCGATGTGCTGGTTTCATCACTCCCCAAGAGGGGGGCGCCAGGGGTGAGGACACTCGAACCGCCAGGGGTGAGGACATTTCAAAACTCGCTCCCTGATTTTGGGGATGTCTCAGGCGGTTTGCCTGTATCTACATCCGAGTTTTTTGGTTTTGGCGGTCCCATCTTACCGTGATCAAGCAGGCGTGGCATTTGAGCACCCCACGGGGGAGCCGCCAGGGGTGAGGACATTCCAAGACTCGCACCCAGATTGTGGGGATGTTTCAGGCGGTTTGGTGGTTTCTGTCCCCCAGACTTGTTCCTTTCGGTGGTACAGTGCTCACCGCGATATAACAGGCGTTGCCTGCGGGCACCCCAAGGGGGAGCCGCAAGGGGTGAGGATATTCCAAAACTCGTCGCGACCAGATTGTGGGGACGTCTCGGGCGGTTTGCCTAGTTCTGCCCCCCCCCCCGACTTATCGGTTTTGGTGGTCCAGTGCGCACCGCGATATAGCAGGCGTGGCATTTGAGCACCCCGCGGGGGAGCTGCCAGGGTTGAGGACATTCCAATCGTCGGGCCCAGATTGCCTGGATGTCTCAGGCGGTTTGCGTGTTTAAACCTCTCGACTTTTGTTTCTCGGTGGTACAATGCTCACCGCGACATCGCAGGCGTGGCATTTAGCCACCCCAACGGGGAGCTGCCAGACACTCCAGGAATCTCGCCCAGATTGGGTGGATGCCTCAGGCGGTTTGCCAGGTTCTGCCCAGCAGACTTCTCCATGTACTTGCGTGCTCCTCACTCACTCGACCTCCCCGACTCACAGCTCGAACGTATGCCTTCGCATTCGGACTTATTCATCAGCACCTTTTCCGCACTCGTACTCTGTCATCACATTTATATTCATGCATAGTCATATTGAAGCATACTCAGACAAACTCATACTTACTAGCTCATTTTCAGCCTCCGTCAAACTCAGACTCATTCACACTCATACCAACTCACATTCACCCCCACTCAGACTCACTCATTCCCAGACACAAGCATACCGATAATACGTTGCACCCATGCTAACTCATATTCAGATGTGTATTCATTGCGCTCAACCTCAGACTCAACCACACTCAGACTCACTCACACCCAGACCAGCTCGCACTTAGACTTGCCCGCATTCTGATTTACTCCGACTTAGACCCGCTCATATTGAGACTACATTTATCCAGACCCACTCGCCATCAGGCTCACTCCTGTCCGGATCCACTCACAGTCTGACTCGCTGGCGCTGAGATCACCCACGCTCAGATTCATTCGCACGGGTGCTCAAACACAAGTGGCTACCGCGATATAGCCAGCGTGGCACTTGCGAATCCCAAATGCCAGCAGGCGCCGCGAATAGCACGCCAGAGAGCGGCCGTAGCAACGCCATGCGCACTTTCCTGAGTTGCCGCGGGGAGAACGGCAAGAATAACTCCCCCTCGCTCTTAAATATGTATGTTCCCTCGTCTGTCCTGAAGAATGTTCACAGGAGGAGAACGCCACTGAAGTCATCACTGCCGTCGTCGTTGCCGCGCCGGTCGTTGGACTTGACTTCTACACCTAGGTACTCATAGACAGAGCTCCTTAGCAATACGTGACAGGAGTATGAGATGCACATAGGAGCGTTGTTGCTGTTGTTGTTATCGCTGTTGGTACTTTGAATAGTGTTGTTGCTGCTGCGGTTGTTGCTGGTGTCATTGTTTTTGTCGTTGTTGCTGTTATTGCTTATGTTGTTATTGTTGTTGTTGCTGTTGTTGTTATCGTTGCTGTTGTTGTTGTTGTTGTTGTTGTTGGTGTTCTCGTTGTTGCTGTTGC